TCATACTACTCTCTTTTACCCATTTTTAGGCTGTCAAGCTTATATAATTGCTCCACGCGGTTTATTCCTGTGATTTGTCATACTACCAGGTACGTACACCTGCTCATATGGTATTCTACCATACATTTCATTTCATCTCCCTAGTTTAGAGTACTGGCAATAGGGTCACAGGATTCCCAATAGGTATTTACCCCGTCTTGGCTGTCGCCATTAGTTAGTGGTCCCGCGAGGCCAACACCCCGCCTCAAACGTTCCAGAGGCAAACACCCATCGGGCCACACGTTAGCTAGCCGCCTCGCATGTTGCAAAGAGAGGGCCTCACCTGTCACTCCCTTCCCCTGTTTTTCTGTCGTACAGTCACCGAGAGGCCTAAAACTCCTGCCACTACGTCAAGTGGCCTCAATAACCCCTCGCGCCAACGCAAAGATAGAGCCTCTCAAGCCGCTTGGCAATTAGCAGGGCCTCACCTGTCACCAAACAAGTATAATACTTTCGCCATCCGGCCTAGCTAGCCTGCCAGTACAATTTGGTGGATATATACTAATTATTGTTTTATTTATAGTATGTCTCAGGAAGGGGTAGAGGATTTCTCCTTGCCTAGCACCCCGGCTAGAGCTGTCACTCCCACACAAGGAGGAGAGCTAGCTAGTCCAGCATCAATCAGATCCTGGACAATCCCGCGCATAACCACGGAATTGAGGAGACGACAAATCCCCTACCCCGCTACAGCAAGGAAGGCAGAACTTTTCAAACTGCTACGCACATCAACTAATAACATGGAGGCCGGGGAAGGATCTAGCCAGTCCAACCCAGGGGACATACATGCCATGTTATCCTCACTCATGGCATCCATGGGCAAGGTCAACTCCAGGCTGGAGAAACTTGAGTCGGTCACCACGGCCCTCACTCTAGCAGGGCCACCCGCGGCTGTGGTACAAACACCAGCCTTGCCATTAGTCTCTCCAGCCAGCACCCTGGATGACCAGGAAGTTAGCCCGGCCCACATGATACCTGAGCATATCAAAAGGGATATCCTGGAAGGTAAAGACATCAACCTGGCTTCCCTGTTGATTGCCTCCCAGGACATTGTGGAACATAAGACGTATGCTTATGATGATGTTTCTGTTATTGTCAGATCTAGGGATGCCCGCCTGAACAGAAAACTGACTATCCCTGAATTTGTACTAGCGTTTGGTATTTACAGGGATGTCATCTGTGCGGTTTATCCTAACAGAAGAGAGGAGTTTGATCTCTATATGCACAAGCTGGTAGACCTGGGCAACAAATATGGTGGTTCGGCATTCTATGACTACCATAGGTCTTTTTCTGCAAAGTGGCTGGAGCCTTCTCCCAGTACGGAACACGATCCAACTGGGGAAGGATTGATACCGTCTTATTTTGCAGACACTTTGCAGGTCTAAGAACACCAGCTTGTGCATACTGCTCCTCCACAGCCCATACTACTAATTTTTGTCCCAACACGGCAGACGGACATGCCTCCACACAAGGAACTAGTTCCTCTGGGGATCCAGGGAAACTATCCAAAGACAAATTGGGACGCCCAATCAAGTTTCTGGGCAAGTCCCAGATATGTAATAATTTCAATGTTGGGTCTTGTAATTACAGTGGATGTAGACTATTGCATGTCTGTTCAAAATGTTTTAGGGCACATGCAAAGACCATGTGTCCAAATAAAATGTATTCCAAGCCTTACCTTACGTCCATTAATATGCCAGTATTCACAACATTGATGTCTCAGCACCCATCTAGACACCTGGTAGACTTTCTTATTTCTGGTTTAACAGAAGGCTTCCACACAGGTATCCTACACATACAAGCTGGAACTCTGGAATGCCCTAACCTACAATCCGCCCAACACAACCCCACAGTGGTTGACACCCTCATAGCCCAAGAAGTGGATGAGGGCTTTGAGTTTTAGAACTCCTCCATTCACAGAATGGCGCACCAACCCTATTGGTATTGTCACAGGGAAATCTTCCCAAAAACAGAGACTCATCATTGACTTATCGGCTCCCCACTCATCGGCCAACCCCAGTCTTAATTCCCTCATACCCTCTGAGGAATTCTCTCTGCAATACACCACCATAGATCACGCCATTACAGCTATCATACAAGCAGGAGTTGGAGCCTGGCTCAGTAAGACCGACATTACTAACGCCTTCAAGTTACTCCCTATCCACCCCACACTGTGGCACCTGCATGGCATCAAGTGGTCCGGGAACTACTATTTTTTCTCCCGGTTAACTTTTGGGTCCAAAAGTAGCCCAGCTATTTTCGACACATTTGCTGAAGCATTATGCTGGTTACTATTGAACATAGCCGGATGCCCTACGGTATTACATTACTTGGACGATTTCCTACTGGTCGAGGAGAATACTTCACCTCCCACTAGCCTCAAAGCTACCACTAAGCTGTTTGAGCAAATAGGTGTACCCATCTCCCCAAAGAAAACAGAAGGGCCAGACACGGTTATCACTTTTTTGGGTATCCAATTAGACTCTGCCACAATGCAAGCAAGCCTACCATGCGATAAGATAGAGAATATTCTCACTTACATAAACAACTACCTACAGCTCGGCACTTGCAACCGCAAAGAGCTACAGTCCCTGCTAGGGTCACTAAATTTTGCGATGCGCATCATACCTCAAGGCCGCTCCTTTATTTCACGACTATTGCATCTTTTCCCACTTTTTCTACATGACACGCACAGGTTGTCCTTAGATGCCCAAGCTACGGCAGATCTAAACATGTGGAAGAGATTTTTAACCACTTGGAATGGTAAAAGTATGTTCCTCCCTCAATTGACTGAATCATCTCCTACCATTTGGTCAGATGCGGCATCTACCACTGGTTTTGCAGCAATTTTTGGGAACGAATGGCTTTGGGGCAGCTGGCCTTCAGCAGTTCAGGATTTGGAAGGTTTTTCCACTACCTCAGCTCTTTTTGAGAGCTACCCCATAGTGGCGGCTGCCGTAGCATGGGGTCATTTATGGACTAATACGCCAGTGCGTTGTTACTCAGACAACCAGGCAAATCATCAACAAAGGTCGTTCCAAATCTCTTACGATCATGAGATTTCTGAGGAAACTCACTTGGTTGGCAGCTTGTCATAATTTCTTCCTATGTTGTTTCCATGTGCCAGGTGTATATAACACAGCTGCTGACAATTTGTCTCGCTTTAAATTTCAGGAGTTTCATCAAGCACTCCCGTCAGCAGCACCCACAGCCACCATCACTCCAACATTTCAACAACTCATACTGGACTAGACGTCACCATGCAGCATAGCAGGGCATTGTCCCAGTTGGCACTTTCAAACAATACAAACAAAACATACAGCAGGGCTTTTACACTATTCAAACGATTCCTTCTGGAACATAACATCATACAACCGTTTGTTATGACATCTTTTTTGGGGTTTGCTTCCTTTTGCCACCTTAAACTCAAAATGTCATACAACACCATCAAACTCTATCTCACTGGCATTCAACACCACATGCTCATCTTACACCCAAATAACAACAGTTTCATGGCATCTCACCAAATTAAGACCATACTCAGAGGTATTAAAAAAATCAGAACCCACACATTTGGCCCAGAGGCTACCCATAGATAACCATATCTTCAAAGCATTATCTAACCTACTTAACCTAAAACCGTTTGACACTAATATGAATTCTATCATCAAAACAGCAATATACATCGCTTTCTATGGATTTCTACGACCCAGAGAATTCACTACGACCTCCACGACCCAAACCACTCCATTCCTCCTCTATTCCCACTTGACAAAACATATGGATCATTACATCCTGTCTTTACCTCACTCCAAAACCAGCCAGCACATACCTGTAAACATTCCGTACTATCCCACGCACAACAGATGGTGTCCCGTCAAGGTTCTTGATGCCTACATACAGCACCATCACTTACTGCCCTCGCAACCGTTATTACAACTACAAGGTGCAGTACTCACCACTACAACCTTCATGACCTACGTCAGGTCCTTGCTCACACAACTGGGCCTCAACGCAAACAAATACTCAGGACACTCCTTTCGTATAGGAGCCGCGTCCACAGCCTCCAGTGTCAACATCCCAACTCATGTTATCAAAACACTGGGGCGCTGGAAGTCATCCGCTTACTCACGGTACATACCGAACCCAGTACAAGAATTAAGGGATGCTTTCATAAACATGTCTGGTTGATAAATGTATATGTATTGGTTGTCTGTTAATAAATTTGATTACTTAATTTTTGCCCTCTTCTTTCTCAGGCCTACCTCATCGTCGGTTTCGGCACACCACAACCGACTTGCTCCTTTTATCATCCTACGCTTATTCATGGTATTTCATACTGTACTATCTTAAGCACCTAACACAAGTATTAAGGCAATTTGCCTGCATTTGTGGGAGGTGCTGGTTTGCTACCCCTAGCCTACTTAAGGCACTCCCCTTACCTTGCTCCTTACCGTTCGAGGTCAGCGTTGAATGACCCTCCCACCACACCACTTTTAACATTTATTTCCTTTCTATTTTTTTTCCTGGGTGGGCCCTCTTCTTTCTCAGGCCTACCTCATCGTCGGTTTTGGCACACCACAACCGACTTGCTCCTTTTATCATCCTACGCTTATTCATGGTATTTCATACTGTACTATCTTAAGCACCTAACACACATATATATATATATATATATATATATATATATATATATATATATACACACACACACACATATACACACACACACACACACACACATATATATATATATATATATATATATATACACACACACACACACACAGATATATATATACACACACACATATATATATAAAAAACATAAGATCCAGCGCACTCACCTATCCACTAAACGGCAAATTCAATGTTGAAAGATTTTATTATTTTTTTTAAAGTTTTTTTAAAAACACCTTATCTAGGCTTACTTGAGGAAAAAAATTCCATCTGGGGCTCTCTGCAGCACAAGGCTAAATAGGGCCCTGGGATGAGGCACCTGTGACAGGGAGGGGTGCAAAACCACTCCCTGTCACAGGTGCCTCATCCCAGGGCCCTATTTAGCCTTGTACTGCAGAGAGCCCCAGATGGAATTTTTTCCCCCAAGTAGGTTAATCTCATAAGAGCAGACATTAGGCTGTTAGTGTAGGACCTGCCAAAGATGGGGTACATTGACGTTGTGGCAGGCTTATGCAATGTATGATCATATAATGTAACTAAACCCCCATTATTTTTGCCTAGATTAGGTGTTTTAAAAAAACTAATAAAATCTTTCAACATTGAAGTTGCCGTTTAGTGGATAGGTGAGTGCGCTGGATCTTGTGTATTGTATTATTTGGCCCCCAGCAGCACCCCCATTTATGCATGTTAAGGTGAGTGCAGCCAACCCCCTCTTGTTTTACCCACAGGGTTACTTACATTTTCAGAATCAGCATACTCCAAATACAAACATATGTCAAAATCATACATATTGGTCCAGTGGTTCAAAAGATAGATCGTAGTCCTTTGTGATCACAGGAAGCATGGCTTTTCTGCCCAAAACCAGTTCCACAGAGTCTTCTATCCTGGAGATAATTAGAAGTAATCCAATTATCTCCAAAGACAGAGGCAAAACTCCATTGAACACATGGCAGCAAAAAGACAGTAAAATACAATAAAAAACACAAGGTTACATTTATGACATAAAATACAGACATGCAACATATGCCCAGTTAGCTTAGGTCTGAGCGCACATTATCACTGAATGGCGCTCAGAGCACACACATACAGTTCAATTGCCATGGAGCCAAAGTCTTTCCCATAGTCTTTCATTATACAAATGGGCTCCATGGCATAGCTATCTGGGGTATCAATGCTCAAACAGGACAAGCACCAAATGACCCGGCTTTCATGTCTTCGCTGGGGAAATGAAAGCGTTTCAACATGGGGCCATAGTCTTAAGGCAGCAGGCGAGCAACCAGGCTTCTCCAATGCAATGTGGCGAGATTGGTCTATATATATACACACACACACACACACACACATATACACACATATATATATATATATACACATATTGTGATAAGGTGAATGGGGTGGTCTGTGAGGGAGTTTATATTTTGAATGAATTGTTCAGAGGCATATGATTTTTAACCCCAGGGGGAGTGTGTGTTTCTGTGTGTATATAACCAAAATAAATATTTAGTTATGGGCCCCTGGGGTGGAGCATTTGGAGAGCAGGGTGGGCCAGTGCTCCACTCCACAGTTTAGCGGTTTTCTTGGGAGACATAGATCCAGGCCAGGGTTTTTTGGACTGTCTCCAACCCACTGTTCAGCTGCAGGTAATCAGCTGCAGCAGTGGGAATAAACCCCTCCCTGCTAGGCAAGTAAGGGGAGAATGTTTGTTTTCTCTCTTGAAGAGCTAGAATCAGCAGGTTGACTAAACACTGGAGTGCTGAGAGCTGACAAAGACACTAGGTTGGTGAAACCAATATTATTTTGTTATAGTTTAACCCGAGAGATAGGGAATCTGATGTTAGTTAGTGCTCAGACGAGCTCGGTTTTTATTTATAGGGATTTGTGTTATATTTATTGTGACGAAGTGCCCTTCGCCACTTGTGCCTGGAGGGGACTACTGGCTAGCCTCCTGCCTTCCGACTATGGCCCATGTGCTGATTGTGGTATTTTCCCCTGCAGAAATGTTTATTTGTGTATTTCTGCCGGAGCATTCTGGACTTTCAGTATGGTAGTAGTGCTATCCCAGATAGCTATGCCATGGAGCCTATTTGTGTAACAAAAGACTATGGAAAAGACTTTGGCTCCATGGCGATTAAACTGTATGTATGTGATCTGAGCGCCATTTCGTAATAATGTGCGCTCACATCTAAGCTATCTGGGGATATGTTGCATGTATATGTTTTATGTAGTAATTGTAACATTGTGTAATTTTATGTCTTTTTGCAACCATGTGTTCAGTGGAGTTTTGCCTCTGTCCTTGGAGATAATTGGATTACTTCCCAATTGTCTCCAGGATAGAAGACTCTGTGGAACTGGTTTTGGGCAGAAAAGACATGCTTCATTTGGTCACAAAGGACTTTCGACTAACTTTTTAACTAATGGAAGGATTTGCATGATTTTTGGTTATGTTTATATTTAAAGTATGCTGATTCTTAATATGTATGTGAATTATGTGAATAGGATGTATATTTTTAAAGTTACAGTATATGTGTAAAAAGTGTATTTTTCCTGCCTGTGATAAATTACATCAACCCATTGTGTTCAGTAATTATATCACAGGCAGAGGGTAGGGATTGTATGTTGGTGCTGGGTGTGTTTTACGGTTTTCCTGTAAACGATTGGTTGTACTGTGTCCCACCCTGTGGGATGTCCCCTTGCATGGGGACTTGCATAAAAGCCAGCGTGTGGTCATTAAAATCAGATCATCTTGTACCTTTCTTGAAGCTTTGGCTCATGTTTGGGGAATTGGAGAACTACACTCTGGGGATTGCTATAATCACTATACTCCCCAGGGTATGATCACTAAGCTCTGCCAAGAGCTTGTTCCTCTTCCTGCTCTCTGGGGAAAGAGAGGTTAACCCACTGGAAGCTGGATCCTGGCCTTGGGTCCAGGGTAGGTGGAGACAGCGAGACCCCGACGCAGCTGCATCTCTGGAAGTGAGGTCTGCAGTGCTGATGGTGTCAGTTGGAGTGCTTGGAGTCCTCAGCGAGCACTAGGAGCATCGATTGGCGAAGGTACTCAGTCGGAGCGCAAGCGGTCTGTCACATTTATGTTTTCATTTACTGCTGTCTCTGTGGTGAAGCTCAACAATAAAGTACCTGGACTTAAGTTACTTTTAAAGACTGTGCATGTTTGTACCCTAGAGGACCTTGCTATCTGCAACCAAGGATCACTATATATATATATATATATACACACACACACACACACACACACACACACACACACACACGTATTAAGGCAATTTGGCCTGTATTTGTGGGAGGTGCTTGTTATCCACTCCTAGCCTACTTAATGCACACTCCTTACCGTTTGAGGTCAGCGTTGAATGACCCTCCCACCACACCACATTTTAACATTTATTTCCTATTTCATTTTCCGGGGTAGGCCCTCTTCTTTCTCAGGCCTACCTCATCGTCGGTTCCGGCACACCACAACCGACTTGCCCTTTTTACTATCCTACATTTAATGATGGTATTTTTACTCTGTACTATCATGAGCACCTAACACAAATAAATACATATACACACACACACACACACACACACACACACACACACACACACACACACACACACACACACACACACATATATATATATATATATATATATATATATATAAAAATATCCAAATGCTTACACTCCTGTTAAAGCAGACTTTGGCCCGGTGCTTATCAGCAATATTAATAGAACAAAAATAGATAGATAATAGCACTCCCAGGACTTTATAGATATAGTGGGAAAAAAAAGGTATTTACTTAGCTTTATTCAGTGACAGCCACATGAAAATCAACGTTTCAGTTCCTATGTGGAACTTTCGTCAGGATAAGGTGCAGTTCACACATCCACAAATATATAACAAACAAATACAAATTCTATTAGTACATTGTATTAAGCACAGCTGTGACTTATTGGTCCTTTCAGAGTAAAATGTTTAATTATACAGTAAGCATACTCACATGCAGACACAGACAATCTCACTGACACACACAAGCTCATTGATACACAGCCTCATAGACAAACAATCTCACTGATATACATAAGGTCATTGACATAAAAACACAAGCTCACTCAGTAGCAGACACACACACACACCATGACACAGACAGACTGTGACACTGACACACACACCATGACACAGACAGACACACAACACACAGACAGACACACAGACACACACCATGACACAGACAGACACACAACACAGACAGACAGACACACACCATGAGACAGACACACATAATTGCTACCTGTGTGCAGAGAGCTCTCTGTGCTGGTGGCCGCAGGAGGAGCTCTGATGGTGGCCGCAGAAGGGAGCTCCAATGGCTGCCGCAGTTAGCGTTAGTATTTGTTTGTGTGAAAAATGCAAAAAACGCCAATTTTGGCCAGTGTTTGTGACTAAGTGGCTACTAAAAAAGACTGGACATACCCCGTTTGCAATACCTTGGGTTGTCTACTATTGCAAATCGTATGCCATCATAGGGGTAATTTTCATTCTTGGGCTACCATAGGGTCTCAAAGGCACCGTAACCAATCTGGCGAATTTTAATGTGAAAAACATGAAACACAAGCCTTATATTTGACGCTGTAACTTTTGAAAACACCATAAAACCTGTACATGAGGGGTACTGTTGTACTCGGGAGACTTTGCTGAACACAAATATTTGTGTTTCAAAACAGCAAAAAGTATCACAGCAATAATATCGTCCGTGTAAGTGCTGTTTGTGCATGAAAAATGCAAAAAACTGCACTTTTACTGGCGATATCATCGTTGTAATACATTTTACTGTTTTGAAACATAGAAACATAGAATGTGACGGCAAATAAGAACCATTCGGCCCATCTAGTCTGCCCAATTTTCTAAATACTTTCATTAGTCCCAGGCCTTATCTTAGTTAGGATAGCCTTATGCCTATCCCACGCACAAAGAAACACTAATATTTGTGTTCAACGAAGTCTCCCGAATAGAACAGTACCCCCCATGTACAGGTTTTATGGTGTCTTGGAAAGTTATAGGGTTAAATATAGTGATAGCAAATTAAATTCCCTTTACTTTCGGCATGGGTTGTCAGGCAGGTCCCGCTAATTGTAATTAATTAAGATACCTAATTATGTAAAAATATTACATTAATATACGTATATATGTAATTTTAAAAAAATATTTTTATTTATATATAGATGTGTGTGTGTGTGTGTATATATATATATATATATATATATATATATATATATATATTTGTGTAAGGGGCAAAATAGCCGTATATGGAGTAAGGATCCAGCATAAGCTTAGGATAGTGTAAAGGGAGCAAGTCGGTTGTGGTGTGCCGATACCGACGATACGGTAGGCCTGTAA